GAGGTTTGGTCCTGCTGCTCCACCAGAGTGCTGTTGCATAATCTAGTCATTGGTGATAAAACTGTGTGACTTAATTTAGTCACTAGGTAGTAATAACTAATGAGACTAGATTATGAAACTGCACTCTGGGTAAAAACAAGTAAAAGTGAGACTTAGTAAGTCTCAAAGGGGAGAATGAAGAAGAGTTTAATTAATCAAAATATAAATGATTCAAGTATAATCGATGTGAATATAGCCATTTATGTATTAAGTTATTCCACTATTATAATCATGTGTATTTGCCTGCATGTATAGAAATCTGTATGAGAATGGAATGTGCAGACATATGGTGAAGTACATGATAAGCACATGATGGCACATAATGGGGCCCTTATTTTCACAGAACATAAAATTAAGGTCTCATGACTGCATCGTGATCCCATATGAATGAAATGTATTGAACATGCCCAGAGAAAAAACTGTATATAAGAGGGTACAGAAAACGATTCGAGAGATTACTCTGCAGAGTTCTCTCAGGTTTTATTGTCTCTGATAATAGAATCTCTTCTGGCATCAAAACTCCAAGACTCTGAGAAAAATTCTTCACAGCAGGGGCAGAAGCCACCACAATGTTTGGACCTAAGGGCTTGGTCATATCTCAAATAACGAGAAAGAACGCTTTTACCTCAATTTTTTGTCACTGATGAGGCTGAATTCAGAGGCAGATTGCGAGTAGACCAAAAACACTGGCTCTCTCACCATCAGAAACACCAGAATCAGACACTCTGGACAATATAAACTATCCATCTCTACAGAACAGACTAAGACCAAGATATTTCATGTTACTGTCGTTGGTGAGTATCAAGTTTTTCAATGTAATAATGATCTTGTTTGGATTAGCACTGTACGGTTTATAATACACCACAGGAGATATCACAAATGCATTTGAAATATTTTTCTTTGCTGTTAAATTATTGAAACTTGCATGTCTTATACTGTACGTAAAACATCACTTAGAGTGATTTGTTTTCCAGGTGCGGTTGATGAGACGGATGGAATGAAATCAGTCTCGGTGATGGAAGGAGATTCTGTCACGCTACACACTGATGCTGAAATACACACCGATGATCTGATAGTGTGGAGGTTTGGAGATAAAGGCGTCCTCCTGGCTAAACTCGATGTAGAGACTAACGAGACCTCATTAAATGATGCTGACTCGATGTAGAGACTAAAGAGACCTCATTAAATGATGCTGATGAGAGATTCAAAGATCGACTGCAGCTGAATCAGACCGGATCTCTGACCATCACAAACACCAGAACTGAACACACTGGACTTTATGAAGTACAGATCAGAGCCCATGAGAGCTCACAGCGATTCCTTCTTTCTGTCACGGGTGAGTAACTCTAATCTTTCAATTTAATGACATACCTAATTAGATCAATGCTTAGACAAATATTAGATTACATTAACATGATGAACAAGAAATATGTCAGAAAATAATTAGTTGTGGGAAGTGAAGTCTTCTCTCATAATGATTTATAGGCTACAGAAAAATAATCAGCATCAGATAAACATTTTGATGGACACATTCATTCTCACTGAAATAGCAGCGATAGTTGCACAGCGATCACAGCCAATTCTGCCAGCGATCATTCACACAGAAACTGCATATATTTTTAACATAAAATTACTTAAATATACAATATAAATAAATAAGAGCACTGCACAGAAAGAAAAGACATTAACTCGGCTATCTGAATCGTCCAAAGGGAGCTAAATGTGATCTTTTGAAATACAGTAAAGGTAATATTTACTTTTTCTTCAATATATACTTCGATGTGAAAAAATACAGAACTTTTCACCAAATTACCTTAAAAGCGATTGTTCAGGTAGTTTTGGAATTTGAGAAACTTGGAAAAAAAGAAACTGGTTTTCTCTTTTCAAGAACCAACTCAAACCTCTTAATTCTGTTCAACCATACAGTGAACATAATTAAAAAAGAAAAAAAATAATCTTTTCATAGGCCATATTCCCACTGTTTTTGACCCATTCAATGTCTATAAAATATTAATATTTTTAATGTGATTATTAAATAAAATTAAACAATAAGAAATATGTATTCATATAACACTATTGTTCTGTAAGAAAAAAATTATAGTATTACATTGAGAAAAAAAAACAATAAGTCAAGTCACAATTAGCAAATTTTCAAGAAATTACTTTTTTATTTTTTTACATTCTCCATTAAAAGACCTTCAAAATGATATGAGTTGATGGAATCTGAAAAACAAAAAGACAGAGCTACACTTGTTTGAAGTCCATAGAGTCAGCAAAGTCCATTTCGAGAAAAATTGACTAGACATCATGCCGAGATCCAAAGAAATTCAGAAACAAATGAGAAAGAAAGTAATTAACTATCCATCTGGAAAAGGTTATAAAGCCATTTCTAAAGCTTTGGGACTCC